TAAGATGGGTTCAATAATGTATACTGCACTGAAGCAGAGGAGGGAGAGAACCGTCTAAAAGAGAGATGTAACTGGGTGTTTCTGTCATCACAGGAGACTAGAGCGAGGGCTGCATGGTGGAGGGGACCTGGGGGAGGGTTTGTAAAACAATGAAAGAATCTTTTCTTTTTTTCCATAAAAAAAAAAAAAAAAATCGCAGTTGCCAGTGAACAATCTTGGTAACCTACTGATGTTATTATGTTTGTTTTGTTTTAAGAAAGGATAGGTCCACCTGCCCCAGACCACATTCATTTGTTAATTCCCACAGTTTCATGCCTGTAAATAGTGGAACCACAAACCACATTCACGATAAACTCTGATTTGGAGATTTACCACATTACTCTGGTGTCCATAACCTTTGGATTTCTACACTGTTGTATTCATTTGAGATGGCTATAAATAAGTCAACACTATTTTACTAGGTAAATAAACACAGTCAACTTCCTTCTTTAAAGGTTAATGCTGAAATATAGGCCTGTTTTCTCATAACAATAGATACTCAAATAAACTCATAAACTAGAAAATCATAAACTCAATTATTAACAATTCAAACTCAATCAAGTTACAAATGCATTAACTTAAACATTTAAAACACAACATGAATAGTTATGCACATGTCATTAAATTTTAAAAGCATTATTTTTTCAGCAATTATGACAAATAATAAGAAATTTAGAGGTTATTACTGAGCTCTAAGTTTACCAGTTTTCTCACAACTCCTTTTTGGATAGTCACTTAGAGAATAAAAATCACTAAATTACCTTGTTTCTCTAAAGTATTTTTTTTATTTTATTTTATATTGGTTTACTTACAAAGTTCATCTACATTGTGTTTCACACTGTCCTTTATTCACATAGTATTTCATAGAATCATTCCAATTCATTGTTGTTGTTGTTGTGTGCCATCGAGTCACCTGTGACTCACAGCGACACTATGTACAAGAGCCCTCCCTAAATGCTGCTCTATCCTGTGCCAACCTCGCCATCTCCGACACATTCATTCCCACCACCCCAATCATGGAATCAAGCCATCTCATCGAGGGTCTTCCTCTCGTGTGCTGTCCCTCCACTCCCCCAAACATGATGTCCCTCTGCAAGGACTAGTCCCTCCTTGCAACATGCCTAAAGTATGTCAGACGAAGCTTCAGAATCCTTGACTCCAAGAAGCATTCCAGCTTCACCCTCTCCAGGATGAAGCAGTTTATTTTTTTAGCAGTCCATGGTATATCCAATATTCTTCTCCAGCACCACAACTCAAAGGCATCAATTTTCTTTCTATTGTCCCTAGTCACTGTCCAGCTCTCCAATGCATAGCATGTAATTGTGAAGACTATAGTCTGGATCGGGCGCATCTTAGTCTCTAGCCTGACATCGTTGCCCTTCAGTACTCTTGAGCGGTCCCTCACAGCTGACTTTCCCAATGCAATTCATCTCTTGATTTCCTGGCTGCTGTTACCAAGAATGTTGACTGTGGAGCCAAGTAAACTAAAACGGTTAACTATCTCAATCTCTTCACCATCCATCCTGATGCTGCCAGTTGGTCGAGTGGTGAGAATATTTGTTTTCTTGATGTTGAGCTTCAATCTATATTGAAGGCTGCAGTCCTTGACCTTCTGCAGCAAACGCTTCAGGTCCTCCTCAGTTTCAGCAAGCAGAGTTGTGTCATCTGCTTAACGCAGGTTGCTGATGACTCTTCCACCAATCCTGATGCCACACTTCTCTTCATACAGCTCAGCCTCCTGGATAATCTGTTCTGCATGTGGATTGAAAACGTATGGAGAGGGGAAGCTCTGGTTGCCTAGTGGCAAGAAACTGCACTGCAATCCCAGAGATATGTGGTTCAAATCTACCAGATGCTCTGCCGAAGAAGGAGGGGCCATCTCCTCCTTTACCAG